CGAGTCTCAGGGCGTGGCGATCGGAGTAGGCAGAGGAGGTGGCAAGCGGTCGATGTTTGCTCGCAAGGCACCGGGCGAGCGCTTAGACGACATGCATGCAGGAGTGCGCGGTGTTGGAAGCCCAGCTCGACTGCACGTCGGAAGGCCTGCGATCTACCGGGCGATAACGCCGGCGACGGCCGGGTGGACTGGTACGAGAGGATGCTACTCGGAGGCAAAGTCGCGTTGGGGAGCGGGTGGGCGCCGGAATGGGAGTGGTGGTGTGATTGCTCCTGTGGTGCGGGCGACGGCTTCTGAGGAAGCCGTCGCCCGCGCCTCGCCTGTCGCGTGAATCGTTACTTATTTACTTACCGTCCGGGCCCGGGTCGGGCAGTTGTCTCGCAGTCGGCATGGGGGCGCGCAGGACGCCGCCGCACGGCTCGCACGGTAGCGCGGACATCTCCCACGATGCGGACTCCTACCCTCAGGAGGTCGAGGTCGGCAACGTCGAGTACAAGCTGAAGCTCGTCTCGCCGACGCCGGCGCGCTTCCAGCAGCTGGTGACGCAGCTGGCTTACCGGCTTGCCGAGGGGCGGGGCCGTGCGGTTTACCTCCTCGGCGTGGAGGACGACGGCGCGCTCCACGGTCTCTGCCCTCGCGACATGTCCGCGTCGCTTGGCACTCTCCGCCGGATGTGCGGCCACGTTTCGGCGCGTATGGTGGTCGCCGCGCAGCGGACCAAGGGCGTGCCGACGGGGCGGATAGCCGAGGTGCGAATCGAGCAGTTTGCGGAGTGCGCGCAGGTGGAGGTGCGGATCGCGGTGCTGGGCAGCGCCCAGGCGGGCAAGTCTTCGGTGGTGGGCGTCCTCGCGGGTGGCCCAGGCGCGCTTCTTTGGCAGCACAGAACCCTCCGTTGCGCTCAGCAGTCTGCGACTCACACCGGTCCGGTGGTGGGGCAGGCGCGCTCGACGACGGCAAGGGCTCCGCGCGGACGCTCGTGATGCGGCACATGCACGAGCTGGAGACAGGCGCAACGTCCTCCATCTCACAGCAAGTGCTCGGCTTTGACGGCGCCTGCCGGCTGCTCAGCTGTGAACAGCGTCTCTTCACACCTCCTGCTGTGAACAGGTGCTCGGCTTTGACGGCGCCTGCCGGCTGCTCAACTGGACGGAGGAGCTGTGAACAGCGTCTCTTCACACCTCTTGCCGTGAATAGGCGCCTCGCGCCTGCTCAACTGGACGGAGGAGCTGGCGCGCACGACGTCGGAGCTGTGCGCCTCCTCGTCGCGGGTGATGACGCTGCTGGACCTCTGCGGCGAAGGCAGCTACTCACGCAACCACACAGCACCGGGCCCCAAGACGCACACGCACGGGCGGTCGAGAAGGGAGAGACAGCGGCGGCAGTCAGAAGGCAGCGCTGCGTCCCAGGAAGGCGAATGCGAGGCCGGCCTCAAGTGTCGCTGCCCACAGCCAGTCCAGTCCAGCCTTACACACACCGAGGCGCGGAGCACGGGCCCACGCGCACACACACGCGCGGCTACACACTCCCCACGCTCGCCGTGCACGAGCGGCGCGACAAGCCGACGCGACGCCACTCTGTGGCACCGGCCACAGTCACGTCTGTGTCGGCCGGCGCCTCCCCCACGCCACAGGCCGCTACCCCAAGACGACGCTGTGAATTCACTACGGATTGGGTATGAATGAACGATGACTCAGGCCGGTTTCTCAAGACGACGCTCGCGGGTCTGACCGCGCACGCGCCTGACTACGCGCTGCTCTGCGTCGGGGCGGACGCCGGCATTCATTAACGATTAATTAACGATTAATTAGCTGTTAATTAGGCGCTGCTCTGCGTCGGGGCGGACGTTGGCATCACCGCGGCCACGCGGCTCCACGCGCTGCTTGCGGCGGGGCAGGGCGTCCTAGAAGCAGAGGACGTGTTCTTGTCTCCCAACTAGCGCCCGAGAGGACACGTCTTCAGCCGTGCTCATCCGTATTCCGCTGCCCTCACCTGTCCTCCTGTCCGTTGTCTTCCCGCGGTGCTCTGAATACGCTGCGCAGACTGAGGCTGGTTTCTTCAGCGCGTAGGCTGGGCGTACCCGTCGTGGCGCTGCTCTGCAAGGCGGGCGTGGTGGACGACACCTCAATCATAGCTCATTCAGGAGTCCATTCAGAGTGAACTAACGATGAATTAGGCGGACGTGGCGGACGCCACCTCGCTGGGCAACCTCGCCGAGGCGACGCTGCGGCTGCTGGCGGAGTGCGGCCTGCCGTCCCCGCTCTACCTCGAGAGCGAGGCCGAGCTCGAGGCGAGATGTAGCCGAGAGGCAGCCGAGAGGCAGCCGAGAGGCAGCCGAGAGGCAGCCGAGAGGCAGCCGAGAGGCAGCCGAGAGGCAGCCGAGAGGCAGCCGAGAGGCAGCCGAGAGGCAGCCGAGAGGCAGCCGAGAGGCAGCCGAGAGGCAGCCGAGAGGCAGCCGAGAGGCAGCCGAGAGGCAGCCGAGAGGCAGCCGAGAGGCAGCCGAGAGGCAGCCGAGAGGCAGCCGAGAGGCAGCCGAGAGGCAGCCGAGAGGCAGCCGAGAGGCAGCCGAGAGGCAGCCGAGAGGCAGCCGAGAGGCAGCCGAGAGGCAGCCGAGAGGCAGCCGAGAGGCAGCCGAGAGGCAGCCGAGAGGCAGCCGAGAGGCAGCCGAGAGGCAGCCGAGAGGCAGCCGAGAGGCAGCCGAGAGGCAGCCGAGATGCGGATACACCCCTCGCCAGCCCCCCTCGCCAAGAGAGGGGCGGCGTGCGCCGGTCGAACGAGCGGTGCTTCGTCGACTCTTTCCCTACTACTATGTGAACAGTTCACCCACACTGACTACACATTGGTGAGCCACACATTGACGAACCAGCGGTGCCTCCGCCAGGCGGCGATGCTGGCCGAGCCCCCCTAATTAATTAATTCATCAATCAATTAGTTAATTCATTTAATTAGGCGGCGGTGCTGGCCGAGCCGCCCCCCTTCTCTGCGCACTGCCCCTGCCTCGCCCTCCCGCCCAGCGGCGCGGACGGCGGCAGCGAGGACGACAGCGGCGGCGCCGAGCCGGACGCCGCCGCCGCCGGCGCCGCCGGCGGCGGCGGAGGCGGCGGAGGCGGCGGAGGCGGCGGAGGCGGCGGAGGCGGCGGAGGCGGCGGAGGCGGCGGCGGCGGCGGAGGCGGCGGAGGCGGCGGCGGCGGAGGCGGCGGAGGCGGCGGAGGCGGCGGCGGCGGAGGCGGCGGAGGCGGCGGCGGCGGCGGCGGCGGTGGCGGCGGCGGAGGCGGCGGTGGGGGCGGTGGGGGCGGTGGGGGCGGCTTCGGCGCTGGCGACGGGGGCGCGGGCGGCGTCACCGGCAGCGGCGAGGTGGGAGGCGAGGCGGGGGGCTCTGCCGTCCTGCTCTCCTCCTCTCTGCCGACGGCGGGGTCGACGGCTTCGATGCGCAGTTGTGGAAGCAGCGACGGCGGCGGGCCCTAGAGAAGCGGAGCACGTATCTCCCCATATCTCGCCGCCCCAGAGAAGCGGAACGCGTATCTCCCCATATCTCGCCGCCCCAGAGAAGCGGAGCGCGTATCTCCCCATATCTCGCCGCGCCAGAGAAGCGGAGCACGTATCTCCCCATATCTCGCCGCCCCAGAGAAGCGGAGCGCGTATCTCCCCATATCTCGCCGCCCCAGAGAAGCGGAGCGCGTATCTCCCCATATCTCGCCGCCCCAGAGAAGCGGAGCGCGTATCTCCCCATATCTCGCACGCCCTAGACTCCCTAGAAGCTGACGCAGCACGCACTCTTGCACTCCAACCGGCGCTCGAGAGGGCACGGACTCCGCGCCGCATTCGGCCGTTGCTCCGCTGCAGCTCTGCTGTAGCTCTGCTGTAGTCACTGTGTGCTCGCAGCACCTCGTCCTCACGCTGGGTGCTCTGACTACTCTGCACAATGCCTGCTCTGACTACTCTGCACAATGCCGCCTCCCCGCCCCGAGGGTCAACTGGCATTCTTTGCGCAGGCGGGGGAGGGTCGACTGGCGGAACAGAGGAGGCGGGCGACGGCGCAACGTCGGCGCAGGCGGAGGCTGTCACGCCGCTGCTCGGGCCCCTAGAAGCGGAAGATCTCCCCATATCTCCCCCCGTATCTCCCCACATCTCGGACCCCTAGTAGCGGAAGACGCACTCGGAAGTCACTCGGACCAGCGCTCGAGAGGACGCGGACTCCGCTGTACTCCGCCGCAGTCGGCTGGGTTCGCTGTGTCCGTAGCCCCTCGTACTCCACGCGGTGCTCTTCATTACACTGCGCACGACACCGCATTCCCGCGCCGAGAGGGCGGTGTGTCCAGCGCTCCGGCTCGGCATCTCTGCGCGGTCCGGCTAGTAGTGAATTACGTAATCATTCTTACTTGTTGATTCACCACGAGTGGCAGGCTCGGCATCTCTGCGCGGTCTGGAGCCGGCCTCCCCCTGCTCATCCGCACTCTCGGGCGGCTCCCGCCCCGCGACTGGGGACTTCTGCAAGGCGACGACACGCCGCCGCCTCTGTTCTCTGCGTCGGGGGTGTGCGCCCGCAGTGGACGGACCGTCGGGTGGTGCTGATGACAGGAGGGCGGCTGCTGCTCTCCATCGACGGGTGCCACATGCCGCGCTCCGCTGCCCCCGTGCTCAAGGTTCGGGTACCGTGGGGGTAGGGGATGGGTGCGGGTACCGTGGGGGTAGGGGATGGGTGCGGGTACCGTGGGGGTAGGGGATGCTCAAGGTACGACGAGCGCGGGGCGTGTGCCGGACTCAAGGAGAGCCCTGTTGACTAGGACGACGACCCTTGGGTCTGCGACGCGCGGGAGTGCGGCGGGGAGGCGCCGGAGCCTAGAAGCGGAAGATCTCCCCATATCTCCCCCCGTATCTCCCCCGTATCTCCCCCACACCTGGCAGCGCGGAGCCTAGAAGCGGAAGACGCACTCTTGTCCTCCAACCAGCGCTCGAGAGGACACGCACTCATCCGCGCTCCGCCGTATTCAGCCGTGGCATGGTCGCTGTCTCCGCACCCCGTGTGCGCCACGCGGAGCTCGGCGTACACTGCACAACCGCCATCTCCCGCCCCGAGGCTGGCGTGTTCGCACCGTAGGAGCCGGAGCCGTGCGATGGGCCCGTCGTCTCAGGCAGACTGCTACCCATCTCGGCTGCATCTCGGCCACACCTCGGCTGTCTCTCGGCGACCTTTCGCGCACCTCTGTGGAGCTCGCTCAAGTGCCGCTCGCGCGCGGGGGGGGCGCTCTATCTCCCCGCACCTCCCCACACCTCCCCGTATCTCCCCGTATCTCGGCCCAGGCACGTTGCTGCGCGGCGCACTCTGCGCGCGCGCCGCCGTCCCCTCGCCCGCCCCCGGCCGGTTGCTCGTCGGCCCCGACGCGCGCGGGCGTTGGGCGCCGGCGACGCTGCGGTCGATCAAGTACAAGGAGCTCGGCGTCGGCCGCGCGGTCGCCGGCCAGTCCGCCACCGTCAGCTTGCAGGTCGCCCTAGCGGGGACCGTGGGGGGTGGGGGACGGGTGCGGGTGCCGTGGGGGTAGGGGAGTCCGCCTCCGTCAGCTTGCAGGTCGGCGCCCTAGGGTTCGGGTACCGTGGGGGTAGGGGATGGTTCGGGCTACCGTGGGGTAGGGGAGTCCGCCACGGTAAACCTGCAGGTTGGGGGACGCCCCCCCCGGGGTGGCCCCCCCCCCCCCCCCCCACCCACCCACCCCCTGAGCGTGCAGCTTGGCGTGTGTGCGCGGTTTGTGCCGCGCCCTCCTCCGCCGCGCGAGTGCGCCTCCCTTCTCGCAGGTTGCGGACGGCGGCGGCTTCAAGCTGCGGCGCGGCATGGTCCTCGTCGACGAGCGCACGCGGCCGGCGCCGAGCGCCGTGTGCGAGTGCGGGGACGTCTCCGCCACACGTCGGTGACATGTCCGAGACACGCCCGCAGGCGCCGTCCGCCGTGTGGGAGTTCACCGCGCGCGTGACGGCGATCCAGCTGCCGGCCGAGGTCGTGGCTTAATTAATACTGGTTCATGGTAATTAATTAGTTAATAAGATCCAGCTGCCGGCCGAGGTCGTGGCTTAATTAATACTGGTTCATGGTAATTAATTAGTTAATAAGATCCAGCTGCCGGCCGAGGTCGTGGCTTAATTAATACTGATTCATGGTAATTAATTAGTTAATAAGATCCAGCTGCCGGCCAAGGTCGTGGCTTAATTAATACTGATTCATGGTGTTTAATTAATACTAAGATCCAGCTGCCGGCCAAGGTCGTGGCTGGCGCGGAGCTCGTGCTGTACTGTCTGGGCGTCAAGCAGGTCGCGCGCGTGCTGCCCGCCGTCAGGAGCGGCGACGCGTCGCCGCCGCACTCTTCCGCCCGAAGTGGCAGCGGAGGCAGCGAGAGCAGAGGCAGCGGAGGCAGCGAGAGCAGAGGCAGCGGCGGCAGCGGGGGCGGAGGCAGCGGAGGCAGCGAGAGCAGAGGCAGCGGCGGCAGCGGGGGCGGAGGCAGGGGGGGCGAGGGGAGGGGCGGTGAGGGCAGGGGGGCGGAGGCGAGGGGCGACGGCGACAGCGGCGGCGGGCTGCTCCTCCGGTGCCGCGCCGCGCGGCGTCCTTCTTTTCTGACCGCTGGCTTTGCGGGGTGTAGGGCTGCTCCGGTACGGCGGCACACAGCTGCTGCGGCTCCGCTTCGTCCACGCGGCGGAGTACTTGCTCGTGGGCGCCGCTGCTCACAGTGAACGAGGGGCGCGCCGGTGGGAGAGCGGCTGCTCACCGGCTGGCTGTGAACAGGCGCCGCGTGTGTGCTGCGCGAGGGTTCTGCAGGAGGGCGCGACCTCGGCGTCGCCGTCGGCCGAATACACGCCACCGCAAGCGCGCCAGAGTGTGGCGAGGAGCAGCAGCAGGGAACTTAGCTGCACCGGGCGACTCCCACCCGGGAGTTCTTCCTACTCGCCGGAGGTGCCATCGCAGAACGACCATAGTCGCCGCCGCCGAAAGTAGACGAGCCCAAAAGGCGCGCAGGGCCGCAGCTGGTTGGCGATTTTATTAGAGGCGTGTGAAGCAGCGACGCGAGCGCAGCGCGCGCTCGGAAGGGAAATAAATGTTGGGCTCTGCCAGTCGTGACAGGGAGTCCGCTGCTTGCAGTTTAAATGTTTTCCCTAAGTAGGGGCGAAGGTAGGCCCCTCTAGCATACCGGGCTCTAGGCGGAAGGGGAACTCGGCCTACTGGCGACGAGGAGGCTGGAGAAATTCGAGGTGTGTAGCATCTACACTGGGGAGATCTTCCGGACAGGAACGGCGCAGCCACCAGAGACAGTACCAGACGAACTGTCACGACACACGGCAGCAGGGGGGACGCAGCTGGATGGAAGTGACGACGAGAGCGGGGACGACTTTGACAGCGTCGCGGCGCGAATTAATTTCGACTGGCCTGCAGCATCGAATGAGCCGAAACGAGGCACGAGGGCGACGCACTTCGTACGCTACGAGGAGATACAATTAGGCAAGGCAGCTGCGCAGGTGATGGTCCTGTTTGCAGAGAGAGGAGTCAAGGAAGGCCAAGAAATCACATGGTCATATGGGGACTCATACAAGAGCCACCGCAAGGAGATGGGATACAGGGCGGCCGGGGACGAGGGCGGACCCGAACGCAATAACACCCCAGCAAGCGCGGACGGCATTCGCGAGATACTGCAAAAAGATAGACGTGACGAAGGAGGAGCTAGCGTGGAACTTTGGATGCATATCGGCAAGCCAAGATAACGAGCAGGAGGCTGTCCTGGTGCGCGAGCTAATCCTGAACAACAATAAGCGACTGTACCACGGAGCACAGAGCGCAGCAGACAGGACGGCGGCGACGGCGAACATGGCAGAGACGAGTGTGAAACAAAGGGCGGCGGGCATGGAGGGCGGTAGCGACGGGGATGGTGACGGTGACGGTGGCGAGGGAGAGGAAGGGGGTCCATTAGCACCAGACAGCGAGAGGGGCAGGGAGGAAAGGGGGAGAGAGGAAGCCAACGGCGATGCCACCAGCAGCAAGGGACACGATGAACAGGTAGACAACGGCCAAGGCGAGGGCGAGGACGAGGAGACACGGGACGACGGCAGGCGAGACGAGGAGGACGGAGGCGAGGGAAGAGGCAGCGCCACAGTCGACGGAGGCGACAACGATGGAGAAGGGGAGGGAACGAAAACGCGCACAGAGGATGAGGATATAAACTGGGACGACGCAGCGGAGGGGATAGACGAAGGAATCGAGGGACCGGAGGGCTTTCGCGACAGCGACGATGACGACGAAGGCAGGGGAGGAGACGGAGGGGCGACACGCAGGAGGAGCAAAATCGCGAACGGCCCGAGCAGAGAGGGCGACGGCGGAGCACGAGGGGGCAACGGAAACGCTACCAATGACGCGAACCGAGGCACGGGCGACGACGGGGACGGGGAGGGCGACAGCGACGTCGAGGTTGACGCAACGGTATCGAGAGCGCCACCCAAAAGGACGCGGACAGCCATGGAGGTCACCGAATGGAGTTCTTAAGATACAAGCCTCTCTCACAGCACACTGGCACGACAAGGGCGCAGACTGGCGCGGACTGGCACACACACAGGCTCACCACCGGAGCCGCCTAAGCGACTCCGTTAAGAACGGCAATGGAGGGCGAACGGCACGATACGAAAAGGCAGGGCGAGGCGGATGGAGAAAGAAGTACCGAGGAGGCCATGGTGGAGGGGAGGGACGGGAGGACGAAAGAAGGGCGAGGAGGACGAGCGGCCCGCACAGGCCGCAAGAGCAGACAGCGCCTGCTGGCCATCTCGAGACATTCGCAAAGAACGCTAGCTACATGGGAGGGCTTCGTGAAGGATGGATTGAAAAACATTCGAACAAAGAAGAGGCGACGGGAGGAACCGGCAGAGGATGCAGTGACGTGACACACACACACACACACACACACACACACACACACACACACACACACACACACACACACACACACACACACACACACACACACACACACACACACACATACACACACACACACACACACACACACACCGCTCACCCACGCGCACCGGGCCTTGCACTTTGAATGCCGTGGGGCTCCTGTCGTTAGACGTGGAGACGCGAGGGTTGCCCCCCCTTGCCCCACCACCTCGTGTGTGTGGAGAAGTTTACCTTACCTTACCTTACCTTACCTTACGACTCGCCGCTTTCCTCCCGCTGTGATTCTGTGTGAGCTCTGTGTCTTGTTTTGCCAACAATAGCTAACTTTAATTTTCACTGTTTACGGGACGTACAGAGTGTTTAGGTAAGCCTCCTGTACGCGTAGTACACGGCGCCGCCCGCGAGGAGCACCACCACGACACCTAGTGTATAGTCGCCCTGCCGCTCCTGCGAGCCGGCAGTGACGTCGATGGTGTATCGATTGTCGGGAGCTTCGTGCACGATGTCGTGGTGGTACTGCACCGACTCGTCCGGCAGGTGTGACTTGGGTGGCTCGGTCTGGACTGTCTCTGTCTCGGGTACAAGCGGCGCTGTCTCAACCTCGGGCTGAGACATATCCCACTCGCCAGCGAGGCGCGATCGACTCGAGGTACGGTGCGACTATGATGTAACATACTTGACCCCCCCCCTTGGCGCCTTGTGTTTTTCGTGGCAGAGCTGCGAGATCTCAGCCCGCATTCCTCCGCTCAGCGCCGGCCGCCCATGCGCTCCCGGGGCCGCCCGACGGCGCGGGCCTCTTGCCGATGGACCCAGCCGAGGTGCCGAACCAGTTGGAGCCGCGCTGACGCGCTGCGCGCGACCACCAGCCAGCTTTTCAGCGCGGTCGAGGACGGTGTGTCGAGAGAGTCGACAGTCCAAACAGTTGTCGCGTTTTTTGCCTCTTTTTGAGCGTTGCTGCTGCAGACCCTGCCCACCAGTGATACGAGACGCACCGGATCCAACCCTGGCAGCGCTTGACCGTCTCCCCGGTGGCCGCCCACAGGTGGCTGATCGAAGCGCCACTCATCGCTGCTTTCGCGCGCCTGGCTCTCAGAGGGCTCCTGCGGCTCTCCCTCGTCGCGTGACCGCCGCCGACATCATGTGCTCGGTCGTCCCCGCCGGCGCGGAGCTGCGCCACGTCGAATTCTTCGGTGGCTCGACCGCCGGCGCGCCCACCCTCGCCTCCTGCGCGCCTCACACCCAGTATTCTCCTCGCGCGCGGCCGACAAAGTAGGCACACGACCACCTCTCTCTCAGTCACCCCCCCCCACGATGCACAGCCCGTCCACTCTCGCCGGCAAGGCGCACGGAACGCCCAATTTGGGCTGGAAATGCCGCCGCCACGGGTTGGTGGCGCCCTCGGCAGCGGGGCAGCGCCACGCCGCGCAAACTTGCGCGACAAACTTGCGACCTCTGTCCCTCGTATTCACCCCAGATTTTGCCCTATCCAGGCTCACCCGGTACCGCGAGCGGCGAGCCGCGCCAAGTTTGCTCCATTTCCGACAAGTTCATCCCGCCCGAAGGCCGATCTTCGGCCGTCTGGAGGCCCAGGACGGGGCTCGGGACCGGCCAGGTGTGGATTCTCCACGGCGCTGCGGTGTATCTGCGCGCCCATGGCGCGTTCAGGGGTGTGCCTGAGGCGTGTTGACTGCGGGGCGCCGCGATAGCGCGGCGCCGACGATTGTGTCAGCTCACTGTCACACCGTCGACACGGTCACAGTGTGTGTGCAGTGCGTCCACTCCGGCGACCGTGACGCCGTCGGTTCTCGCCTATACCGGCTAGTGTGGAGCTTTCAGTGTGGTTGCGTGTTTTACTAGTGATGCTGCACCAGGCGGCCTGTTTTTAGCAAAAAGCAGATACCACATCGCGTGTGGTTGTCGAAAAACCGCATCTTCGCCCGTCTGGGACCTCTTCGTACGGCTCCAAAAACGGCTCCTTAACGACGGCTACGCGGCCCGGCGGTCGATCTGCGCCTTCTCAGCGGTGGAGGGGATGTGGGCGGTACGTGCGTACCGCGTGGTGTTGCGACGGTTTGACGAGTGCGACTCCCAGCGTCGACTTTTCGACCCCACGGAGCCTCTGCTGCTCCGGGGGGGCGGTCTGCAGACCACCCGGCCGAACTTCAGAGTCGCGGTGCTCCTCAAATACCGCTCAAACGCCCACGATGCTGTGGAGGGGACATATGCTGATGATCCTGGCCCGATTGGTTCGCTCAGAAAGCTTCTGGGCGGTCGTTAAGGTTCGCTCCCCGCACACCGGCCCGGAAGTATGTTACATCATACGACGCGACCGCAGTTGAGCCACCCGAATTTGTTCGCCTCGTGCTCCACGCACGGGCAGGATAGCGTGGCGTTCCAGCCGGTGCGGATGATCGGCGCCGGATTGCCCTTCCACTCGCCGTGGCGGATGTATGTGCCCTCCTCGGGCGGGCACGCGGAAGGCAGCGGCGTCGTCCGCACCACGCAATCGCGGTTGGCCGCAATGAGCTCGGAGGTCGGCGGCCCCGGGTCCTCGAGCCAGACGCCGCTGGCTGGCCGAAAGGACTGTGGAATCACCATCGAGCCGTAGCCTTGCCGGTGCGCCTCCTGGGCATATGGGCAGTCGGCACCACCCCAGATGTTCACCCTGGGGAAGCGGCGCGTCACGTCGGATCTATTCTTGACCCACAGCCCGTCGTCAACGCGCAAAAAGATGCCGCTTCCGATGACGCCGTAGAACCAGCACCCGTAGCCCACGCCCTCGGCGGCGCCTTTGACAGGATCGCCCACGTAGAGGTCCGGGTGCTGGGAGTTTCCGCCCTTCTGGCAGTAGGGCTTGGCAGGCTTGCCCTGCCCAAACGTGTCGCGCGTGTGACGCGACACCTCGTACCACGTGCGCACCTTCATCGGCTCGCGGGAGCTGAGCTTTAGGATCGGCCCCAGAGACTGCTGCTCGCCGGGGTGCGGGCGGTAATTGGCTCCGGGCTCCCAGTCGCGCTTGTGGCGCGCAATCTGCCAGCTGCTTGGTTGCCTTTCGTGGAGCCATCTCGAGCACGTCGCGTCGTCGCACCAATTCTCCTCGCCCTTGCAGCGGTAAAAGGGAAGAGAGTCGACGTAGAAGAAGGAAAACGTCTTCATGTCGACGGGCAGGTCCACGTCGCCGTGGTAGACCATGCGCAGGTAGCCATACCATGGCGACTTGGTGCTCGAGACGACGGGCAGCCGCAGGTGCCAGTTGCGTATCTTGTCCTGGTTGCAGACGTCAAAGCAGTTGCACGTAGGCCGGGCGTACGGCGGGTACGGCGGCGGCGACGAGCGAGGCGGCAGCAGCGGAGGTACAAGTGGTGGTGGCCACGGCGAGGGCGGCGCATCGGGAGGCGGCAGGGGAGATGCAGCTGGCGGCGGTGTCGACGGTGGCGGCGGTGGCGATGTTGGTGGCGGCGGCGGCGGCAGCAGCGGCGACGGCGGGCCCCAGGTCAACGGAATCGCCGCCAAGCTGCCCAAGCCGAGAAGGCTGGCCATGACGAGAAGGAGCACCATGTTGGGCTGTCGCGCCACCGCCGTCGCGAGTGCTGACCCACTGCCTTGCGCAGCCGGCTCCTCGGTTGGCGGCAGGCGAGTTGTTCGTCGCCGTTGCTTCTTCTTCTTCTTCTTTGGCGGCGCACGTGAAGCAGCGTCCTCCACACGCTCGGCCTCCTCGATGCGCTCGGCATCCTTGAGGCCCTCGGCCTCCTCGACGGCCTCCTCGACGGCCATCTCGAGGCCTTCAGCCTCCTCGGCCTTCTCCGTCTCGGGTTCCGTCTCGAGTGAGATCCATGCGGCCTTACGCATCTCGCGCGCGTTGCGTTCCTAGAGCTCTACAAGCCACAAGGAAGACTTTAAACAAAACAACTCTGTCTCTCACAGCACACAGGCGACGGCTAGCGCACCACACACCTCTCCTTAAAATCCCTGTGTGGTGGCGGCGTGCCGTCCTCCCATCCCTCCCTTGGGTTCTCTGTTTTCTTTCTTTCTTTACACAGGCTCGACACACACAGGTGCGAACTGGCGCGTGCTAGTCCTATCACCGGCACACCACCGGAGCCGCCTAAGCGACTCCGTTAAGAACGGCAATGCACTTAGCTCCACAAGGAAGACTTAAAGTTTGCCCTTGCTTGCAGCGATCTCGAAGACGATGGTGTGGGGGGGGAGAGAGATTCGTTGGGGTCTGGCCGTTGATGTAGGTATGTAAGCGGCCAGGGTGTGATACACAGAGAGAGGGCTTGATGTCCCGAGCTGCCTCCCTTCTCTCTGTGTCACCCCAGCCAGCCGCCCACGTCCGGGGGCGCGCACGCGCGTCCCTCTCGCCGCCCGGGGCGTACTCCCCCTGAGCGGCCGGACGTGATCCGCAGACATGCATCCACGGTGACCCGCCGGACTCTCCGGCAGGCTGTTGTCGTGAGGTGTACGGACAACTAAGACTGGGACTGATCGATGCGACTCGGCCTGCTGCCCTCCAACTCGCGGGCGGCCAGCAGCCACGGCGCGGCCTCCCACGTGGCGTCCCCGGAGGCCCACTCCTCGGACGGTGGCAGACACATGGGCATGGGGCGGGACACGACACCGCTCACGGGACGAAACCTCCGATCGGCGAGATCGGATGTGTGACTCGTGATGCCATTCTGCATCTTCTGACATCTGTTCGGGGCGCTTTGTTGAAATTTTTATTTTTGTTGCGCGCGGTTTACCCCCCCCCCCCCAAACATGGGCCGACTCGCCACCCAAAAATTCATTTTCATTTCCTTTGAAATGATGACTGGGGGCATGTACAGAACGCGTCAGGGACACTATCTGCGTGCAAAATTAAGGACATTCCTGGTTGTGAAATCCAACACAACACGTGTCGTATATGTGACATGACGTGAGTCCTCATTCACTTAGCCAGGCGGCCCTGGACGTACGAGGTAACTGAGCCCTCTTTATAAGGCACCTTGTGCACCTGCACCTGCATGCCGTACAGGAGGACCGCGACTGCATCGGAGATGTCGCTGGGGAACATGACTCATTCGTGACTTTGTACATACATACAAAAAGAAATATATATGCGAATAGCGTCGAAGAGAGACCGCGTACCGCGAGGAGGACCGAGGGGCACACGGTAGAGCTGGCGGCCCCAGTGTGTCAAGAAGTGTACACGGTACACGCTGCACGTACACCCTACAGCCTGGTGCAGCATGAGTGTACGGGCGAGACCGAGAGAGCCGTCACCCGTCCACTCCCAGAGCTACCGCGGCCGCTTGCCGATCGGGCACGACACGTGGTGGGGCGAGCGAACCTCCACCTCGAGGACGAGCGCCTGTTCACAGTCAAGGCTGTGAATGGACGCCGCCCACAGCCACAGCGGCGACCCGCCTGCTCTGGGTAGAGCTCTGGGCGCCGCTGGCTCGCCGGTAGAGCCTCCGAGCTCCTTGATGCGGAACTGGCCGCACGCCTGCACCTCCTCCCACGCCATCGCGTTGCCAAACTCGGGCGGGCTGCGCGCGTAGGCCGGGTTGGCGTAGAGCAGCCCTGCCGCCTACGCTCGCGCAGTCTCCGGCTCATCTCGGGGCAGTCTCGCGCACTCTCGTTGGCGTAGAGCAGCCCTGCCGCCTCGCAAGCGCGGAAACATGCGGCAAAGCGCTCCGCCGTCTCGAGGTAGACACAGATGTGGTACGCTGCCGCCTCGTTCCGCTCATACTCGTCTGGAGGCGGCGCTGAGCGCCTCTCGGCGAACACGAGTTGCTGCGGCGCGGCGCCGAAACGAACCACGCACTGCTGCAAGCCGGCGGTGTCTTCGCCACTCCCCGCCCCGCCGGCAACGCCGCCCTCGCACCACAGAGGCGGCGTGCCTGAAGGCTGAAGCTCGCACGCCTCGCCGCCCAGCGTCTCCTTCCAGAAGTGCGCAAGCCGCGCGGCGGCGCCGGGGCGCACATCGTGCACGGCGCGGACCAGACGCGTCAGAGCACCGCTGCCGGAGGGGTGGCACCCCCAGCCATCGCAGCTTCCGGGCGCCTCGTGCCGAATCACAAAGGCGTTGCCGTACGGGCAGCGGACTCGCAGGACGTCGCTCGCGCCATCTCGCACATGGCCACGCAGCTTGTGCCGCGTGAGCCGGTCGGCAATCGCGTCGAGCCGCTCCGACGTCCACAGCTCGATCTCGCCCGCCCAGCGCTGCGCCGCGGTCACCGGTGTGACACCCTCCGCCTTACCATACTTGCGCAGCAGGTGGAACTGCGTCGCTCCCATGTTGACGTGAAGCTGCCGCTCGTTCGTCGTCGGCTCATTCACGACGGCGCCGAGGCAGGAGACGTAAAACTCGCGTGCCGTCGGCTCGTCGAGGATGTTGAGGTTGATGTGCTCAAGCAGCGCAGTCATCGTCGGGAAGCCTGCGAGTGCCTGCCAGCCGACGAGTGCATGCAGCCTGCGAGTGCCTGCCTGACAAAAAAAGAAGTACACGATTCGGTTTTAAAAAAAGAAAAGAACAATCAAAAGAAATTGTGGGGGCGGGGGGGGGTTGTGTGACAAAAGAATTTTCCGACAAAACTCCCTCGGAAAAAATGAATTTTACAACGAAAGGCGGTCGCACGACACGATTCACGCCCTAGGGTAGGCGACGGCTAGCGCATCACACTCCTCTCCTTAAAATCCCTGTGTGGTGGCGGCGTGCCGTTCTCCCATCCCTCCCTTGGGTTGTCTGGTTTCTTTCTTTCTTTACACGATTCACGCGACAGGCGAGGCGCGGGCGACGGCTTCCTCAGAAGCCGTCGCCCGCACCACAGGAGCAGTCACACCACCACTCCCACTCCGGGCGCCGCCCACCCCTACCCAACGCGGCCAAAGGATATCCACCTCGAGAACCTCGAGAACTCCCCACCCCGACATCCCCACCCCTGGTCGCTGCCTCAGGTGTCATCCGCTCCACTCCCTCCTCCGCGCTGACGACAAGCCCGGGTCTCACCAGACACTGGTGTGCGTGGCATAGGTGCTGCTCGCAATCGCGCGGGTGAAGCCGCCCGTCGCAATCGGCTTCTCGAGCGGTGGAGCGTGAGGCGGGGGCGCAGGGAGGAGGAAGGCTGCGTGCGTATCACGCAACAATGAGTATCGCCCAATGTTGCGGCAACTGTGCGCAGCCGTCCGTGGCATCCACGTACCACGACGCAGCCGCACCAGCTGAGCCGCGTCGTCTCCGTTCGCTGCACTGGTCGCCATCATGCAGCCGCGCGGCCTTGCCCACCACGTCTCTCCCGGCTGAGGCGAGAGCGCGAGCAAGGGGCAAGGGCACAGCTCCACCCGCGAGGAGTTACGTGCGAGGATTTTTTCACATGAGCCTTACTTTCCCGGGGTATGGTATGGTACCATCGGCGGCCCAAAGGCGTGGGTCCTGACCGCCCAAGACTAGCCCTACCATACTACCCCAAGGCCAAGCAGGTCTGCCAGAGGCGGGGGGATATGGTCTTGAGCTGGGATTGATGGATGGGAAGGCGAAACACAGTCCGACCAACGACTGGGACACCAACGCGGTACGGGTGGACGCAAGAGGTACCATACCACACCGGCAAGAGGCCCCAACCCGTTGGCGCGAGGCGTTGGGCGGAAGCGCAAGGCGGCGTTGGAGGATCGAGTGCGCCGCTCCGCCGCCGCCGCTCCGCCCCCCGCCCGCGACGCGCCCGTCCACCGTCGCTGCTCACGCCGCGCGCCCTCTGCCGAGATTCAGCCGCGTGCGCCACCACGACGCCGCCGCGGCCGCTCGCTTAGCAGGCATGAGTCTCGCGTTCGACGAGTATGGGCGCCCCTTCATCATCATCAAGGAGGGCGAGGCCAAGGGGCGGCTGAAGGGCCTCGAGGCGCAGAAGGCCAACATCCTCGCCGCCAAGGCCCGCCGCACTCTCCACGCCCGCCGCGGCGCCGTCACCTCTCGCCGCCTCTTGTTGCGCCACCCACACGCCGATTCGCCGCCCTCTCCCCACCCCCCGCCGCCCGCGCAGGCCGTTTGCAACATCCTCAAGACGTCGCTCGGTCCCAAGGGCATGGACAAGATGCTGCAGTCGCCGGACGGCGACGTGACGATCACCAACGATGGCGCGGCGCCGTGAGGCGGGAGGCGTGCGGGGCGGGGCGGGGCTTGAGATGACCTCGTCGGGAGCGGTGCGCGTAGGCGCGACGATTCTCGAGCAGATGAAGGTCGAGCACCAGATCGGCAAGCTCCTCGTCGAGCTCTCCAAGTCGCAGGACGATGAGATCGGCGACGGTACCACCGGCGTGGTCGTGCTGGCGGGCGCGCTGCTGGAGAAGGCCGAGGCGCTGCTGGACCGCGGGATCCACCCGATGAGAGTGGCGGAGGGCTTCGACCGCGCATGCGCGATTGCGGTGGAGCACCTCGCCTCCATCTCGGACACCTTCTCGTACTCGCTCGACAACACCGAGGCGCTCGTCGAGGTCGCCATGACCACGCTCGGCGCTCCAAGACTGCCGCCCGCGCTGCGCTCGTCCACGACAGACACGCCCACGACACGCCCAGGACGCGCCCCGTAGGTGCGCCGACTCGGCCCTCTCCGCGCTGCGCACGTCCACGACACGCCCACGACACGCCCGCACGGCGTGCGCCGTAGGCTCCAAGATCGTCAACCGCGCGCACCGGAAGATGGGGCAGATCGCCGTCGACGCGGTGATGGCCGTCGCCGACTTCGAGCGCAAGGACGTGAACCTGGACCTGATCAAGATGGACGGCAAGGTGGGGGGCTCGCTCGAGGACACGACCCTCGTGCGCGGTATCGTCATTGACAAGGACATGGCGCACCCCCAGATGCCGAAGGACCTCAAGGACGTCAAGCTCTGCGTGCTCACCTGCCCGTGCAAGCCCCTAGAAGAAGAAGACGGAGGCATGTCCCCCAACCAGCGCTCGAGAGGACACGTGTTCAGCCGCATTCGGTCGTATCCCGCTGTATGCACTGTCTTCGCAGCCCCTCGTACTCACGCGGTGCTCTGAAGACGCTGCACAGCACCGTCCTCCCGCCCATCCTGTCGGCGTCTTCACGCAGGTTCGAGCCCCCGAAGCCAAAGACGAAGCACAAGCTCGAGCTGGAGTCGGTCGCCGCCTTCGAGGAGATGCAGGCCAAGGAGAAGGACTACTTCACGCAGATGATCCGGCAGGCGCGTGCACTCTCTGCTACTCCTCGTGTGCTCACACCACCACACTGCCGTGCCCGAGCCAGCTCACACCACCACACTGCCGTGCCCGAGCCTTGCGTGCATGCGTGCGGCGTCTGTGCGTGTGTGGGAGAGACGCTGTTGTCGTCTGCGCGCGGGGCTTCCCGCGGGGGAGCCGAAGACGTATCCCCCCCCCCCCCCCCTCTCCGGCAGGTGAAGGACGCCGGCGCCAACCTGGTCATCTGCCAGTGGGGCTTTGACGACGAGGCGAACCACTTGTTGATGCAGAACGAGCTGCCCGCCATCCGATGGGTATGCACGTAAGAGCTACAGACACTGAGAGAGAGAGAAAGAGAGAGCTAAAAGTACGAAACCGGTACTACCCGGGGCGGCGTCAGCTTTGTTCGCAGGATCTGTCCACGACACGTCCACGACACGTCCACGACACGTCCGCAGGTTGGCGGCGTGGAGCTCGAGCTGATCGCCATCGCGACGGATGCGCGCATCGTCCCTCGCTTCGCGGAGCTGACGGCGGACAAGCTCGGTTTGGGAGAGAGGGGGGGTGATGGGGGGGAGAGAGATGGGGGAGAGATGGGGAGATGTGAGCCCACGCGCACGAGGAGGCGTGAACAGCGTCTCTTCACACCTCCTGCTGTGAACAGGCTCGGCGGGCCACGTGCACGAGGAGGCGTTCGGGACGACAAAGGACCGGATGATCGTGATCGAGGGCTGCCCAAACTCGCGCGCCGTCACCGTCTTTTGCCGCGGAGGCAACCGGATGGTCCTCGACGAGGCGAAGCGCTCGCTGCACGACGCGATCTGCGTGGTGCGCGATCTCCCCATCTCCCCCCCCCATCTCTCCCCCCATCTCTTCCCCCATCTCTCCCCATCTCTCCCCACCCCTCCCCATCTCCCCCCATCTCCCCCCCATCTCTCCCCATCTCTCCCCCATCTCTCCCCACCTCTCCCCACCTCTCCCCACCTCTCGCTGCACGACGCGATATGCGCAACGCCCCTCGTGGCCTCTTCGCACCCCCTCATCACACCCTCTCTTCACACCCTCTCATCACACCCTCTCCTCACACCCTCCCCCCCCCCTCTTCACACCCTCCGCCGCCGACAGGTGCGCAATCTGATCCGGGACAACCGGATCGTGTACGGCGGCGGCGCGTCGGAGATTGCGTGCTCGCTCAAGGTGTGAACAGCGTCTCTTCACACCTCTTGCTGTGAATAGGCGCGTCGGAGATTGCGTGCTCGCTCAAGGTGTGAACAGCGTCTCTTCACACCTCCTGCTGTGAATAGGCGCGTCGGAGATTGCGTGCTCGCTCAAGGTGTCTGAGGCGGCGGACCAGGTCCGCACCATCGAGTTGTCACCATTCTTCTGATTGGTAGGAGTAGCAGCAGCAGCAGCAGCTGTTCTGCTCATCTCATTCTTGCCACTATTATTACTACTGCGACTACTGTACTGCAGTATTGCCATTCCCATTACTGTTCTCAACGACCAGGTCGGCACCATCTCCCCATATCTCCCCCATATCTCCCCCATATCTCCCCCATATCTCCCCAACAACCAGGTCGGCACCATCGAGCAGTACGCGATGCGAGCCTTTGCGGATGCGCTCGAGCAGACGCCGTGCGCGCTTGCCGAGAACTCGGGGCTGCAGCCGATCGAGACGGTGGCGTCCGTCAAGGCTGACCAGGTTTCGAGCGGGCGGTCGTACTTGGGCATCGACTGCAACCAGGCGGGCACCAACGACATGAAGGAGCAGAAGGTGTTCGAGACGCTCATCGGCAAGCAGCAGCAGCTCATGCTCGCCACGCAGGTTGTGCGCATGATCCTCAAGATTGACGATGTCATCGAGCCCGCCGCCTTCAACGGCTGACGGCCTCCCCCTCCGCTCTACCCCCTTCTGACTCTCCCGCCGCCGCGACCGGGCGCAGGGTGGCGGGGGGGCGCCGCCCGCGCCGCGCGAGCGAGACGACGGGCAGCGCCGCGCACACGCCCCTGCGAGCGAGCGCGCGAGGTACGGTTCTCTGGAGAGAGACTCAAACAGCGCGGTGAGGCCCCGCGAACAGAGGTTGAGAGAGTCTATCAGTGTGCTCTATATCGGAGTATAGTATGACTACTGAGTACTGTAAGAGGGGCGGGCCTCCTAGATATCGTCATACGAAGCTGCTGCTGGGAGCTCAGGAGCGCTGCTGCCGTGCTCGAGACCTCGAGTGCGACTGAGGCGTGAGCAAGCGCTGAGGTGGTGGTGCACTTGGAGCACTTGTGCGTTGTGGAGTGCAGCCATCAACCTCACATCCAGGGCCGGGGAGCTAAGAAGCGCACCCAGCGGGCCCCTCGGATGATCGAGATATCGGGGTTGCGGGCAAGAGAGCCCTAGCCCCCCTGGGGGGGGTGCGCGTTCGCAGGGAAGGGGCCGTAAAGTAAACACGGGTCTCCGAGAGGGTCTTCACTTGGCTCCACATATACATGTCGAGTCTCTCGAGGTCTCGCGGATGGGCTACCATGGAGGCCTGCTGTGTGACGTGTCCATTAGCTCCGAGAGTAGCCGTAGGGTGGCGTTTTGCCGCAGTTACCCGGGACACGGAGCCCCGAGGCGCTCGAGCAGCTCGCGAGCAAGCGGATGGGCTACCGCGAGGTGCTCAAAGGCGTCCTAGAGGGCGTCAACATCCTCCAGCGGCAAGCACAAGCTCTCACTCAGTCTTATGTTGACGAACATTTATGAATGATCACTTGATTGAGCACATTAACGGGGGCCCGACGACCCGACCCTGCGCGCCGCCGCCGCAGCACACACAACTCACAAGCGAACCGAGCGACGGGAGGAGTACGTGACGCAATGGGGCTCTATCGTTCCCTCCGCCGGAGGGAGATTGGCCCTGACCCGTCTTTCTCCTTGCTGGACCTAGAACGGCCGCCAGCAAGGAGAAAGTTGTCCCGGTAGCGCCTAGTCACTCCCACCGAGCCTCTCGCCCGTCGCTTCGTTCACGTCTTGCTCTTGTCCCGCCTGCTCCACTTCCTCCGCCGCTGCCTCCTCCACCACCGCCACCGGCACTCCCTGCACTGGCGGGAGGTTGCTGCTTCGCACCTGGGGCACGACTGGGGCTCTGACTCTGAACATAGGCACCGTGGCCTCGACGTCGTCTGTCTCTGAATCCACCTCCTCGTCCATCTCCGCCTCGCGTTGGTCCAGGGCCGCCGCCCGTGCGTCGAGGCGGGCGGCCATCGCCACTAGGTGCTCCAACCGTTGGTCCAGACTCGCGCTTTGCTGCTCTTGCAACAACTGTGTGGCGCTCTGCGCGGTGGCGGGCTGGGCGGTGGCGGGCTGGGCGGGGGTGGGCTGGGCGGCGGCGGGTTCTTGGCATCGCTCGAGAGCCTCCAGCCTCGCCTCGTGCTCCGCTTGCTGCTCGACAACAGAGTCGAGGCGGGACTCGAGACATTTACCAGACATTTCCACGTGCCTGTTTGGCGTCTGCTCTGAGGAAGGCAGGCGGGCAGTAAAAGCGGAGAAGGATAGCAGGACGGCAATGAAGGTGGTCAACGTCACGCAAAGCGCAAGGATTGCCCCAAATTGGCGACCCTCGTCAGGTGGGAGGGGCGCGCACAGTGTTTGGACGACGACGGTTGCGCCGCGGAGGATAATCTCGGGGAGAAGATTGCCGTGCTTCAGCGGCAATGCGAGATGCATGACGAGGGCCATGCTGAGGCAGAATGCCACCCATGCTTGACTAAACGGATCGTTGACGCTGAGCGCGAGGAGAACCTTGTTCGACTGCAGCTGCAACGCCCAGAGTGGTGCGGAGCCGGCCGTCAGGAGCTCTGTCCGACGACGCAGGTACCACTCTGGCTTATTTGTTGCTGCCATGCCCAGTGCGAGCACAGCCACCTGTCCCGCCCTGCTAAGGAGAATCTCGCCCATGCTGTGGAATGCAAGCCCGCCACGAAGCCGCGCGAAGACCAGGAGCTGCGCGGGGCCGAAGACAACCGTCGCGGCAGCAAACAGGGCGAGCATCGTCCGATCCGCCAGATGCGACGCGCGAGAGGGGTCGCGTGGCTTCGCGGAGGCATTAGACATGTGCCTGGCTGCCCAGGGCGCCACTGGCGTAGGTACAGGGGAACGTCAGGGGCGAGGGTGTGCACGCCCTCAGCCCGGATTCACTATAGCCGTTTCCCGTTCTTCTCATTAGTTCGCTTCCCACAAACATCCCCTTTTTCCGATTTATCCGAGATCGGCGAAGGGTCGCATCTTCCAATAGGCCAAACCAAAAACGCGATGTGTTTCTGTGAGTAGTTTCACGGAATCTGTGTTTGCGCGAATGCACTGCGTGCGTGCGTGTGTGTGCGGGGCTCCACATCGTCTGCCATGGTCAGAACGGCGCTGCGACCCTGGTGCGTGACCACAAGGGCTCGAAGGCTAGAAAGATTGACGTCACAAGATGATGAGGGTTACACAAGGACAGCCAGGCTACGGTCATCATGGGAGGATGTAGATGTAGGTTTGAGTTCACACTCTCCAACAGGGCGGCTTCTGTCGAGGTCTCGCGAAAGAAAGAGAGAAAGAAACGGAGAACCCAAGGGAGAGGTCTCGCGATCGGCTTGGCAAGGGTCTCGCGCGCTTTTATTTCTCTCGATAGCTGAGGCCCCTGAGGCCGCCGCGTGATCGTCGACGGCCTCTCCTCCAAGCCCGAGCTCAACGGCAGCCGTGGCATCGCGGTCGGCTTCGACGAGGACAAGGGCCGCTACACAGTCCGGCTCGATGCGGGTCCGACCATGGCGCTGAGGCCGAGCAATCTCACCGCGGACGGGTCGGCCGACGGCGGTGGCGGCGGCGGTGGTGGTGGCATGCCCGGCTTTGGAGGCGGCATGCCTGGCTTTGGAGGCGGTGGCATGCCGGCGGGCGCTGCCGCGCAGGCAGCGCAGGCGGCGATGGCACGGCTGCAGGCGATGCTGCCTCCGGGCGTCTCGCTAGCGCAGGCTGGCGTGGCGATGCTCCTCCTCCTCTACGTTGCGCCGCGCGTGCTCGGCCTCCCACTCCCGCTCGTCCTCTGTGGCGGCGGCGCAGCCGCGTTCGTGTACCAGTCCGCGCGCGGCGGCGGCGGCGCGAGAGGCGTGGCGGATGGGCTGCGGCGAGGCCTGTCGCGTGCGGCTGCGGCGGCCGAAGCGACGACCGGGCAGCGCGTGAGCGAGGCGCAGGCGGCCGCCCTCCTCCTCGCTGGCGGCTACATGCTCT